CCACCCTTCAAAAGAGAAGGAAAACACTACCGGTAAATTCTGTCAAGAAATTGTAACCTTTTCTAAATGATTTTCACACATACACAAAAAGCTGTTAATTTATTTGCGAATGTTTATTAGTTAAATCAATTTGCAAATTAATTAGATGGGCCAGGTCTGTGACGTATTCAAAAAATACCACCTAGCTAGTCTTCTTGGCTACGGAACTTTGTGGAAGAACTAAAAATGTACCTAAAAAAGAAAAAATAAAAATCACAGCCAATCACATTGAGAGCCTCACACAATTCATTCATTTATTAACCGGTAGACGACGACTTACTTCCAGCGTAACGGGTCTGAGGCGGCCTGAGGGGAAGCGGGAACTTGTCCACATTTAAATATATGAATATTTATTAGGAACACGACAAAATGAATGAACTTTTTAATTTTTCCAATACATTCTTTGTTGTTTTCTTATTATTAAGCCATGATAATAAGGGACCAAAGGGACCAAAAAGGTACTATTAGCCTAGGAGACCCCCTATAGATAAAATAAGGGTTAAACAATTATTCTTGTGGCAAAATGCCCATACAAAGTCCTCATCGAAATTCTGGAAAATATATTCTATAGAGAGGAAGGAATTTAAGGTATGAAAGTAGAAGACCTCTAGATGCAGTTCTAGCTTAAGAAATTATCAAAAAATGTTAGAGGACCTCTACAACGGATTCTAGTTTCTTCTATTGGCAGGAGATCCTACACTGTAGGTATATGTAGGATACCTTAGGTGCACTTTTAGATCTGTTATACTTTTAGAACGACTTGTAGCTATGAAATATTTAACAGATTTGCCTTGTTGAAGGTATAGGTAGGAAATCAAGAGACTTCTCTAGCCAACCAAAATCAGGGAATGATGCATGTTAGACCTCAAAAACGATTTCTAACTAGTGGTATAGGGAGATAGGATCAATTCACTTAAGGAGGGTTCCGCTAAAGATATATTAGGATTAGCTATTAAAGACGTATAAAAGCTGAAGAATCCTCAACATTTCTTCTAACATTGCAAGGTTTATAGAAGTCTTCGAGTTTTGGTAGTTATCATTGACATATAAATGTTCTGAAGAAGGTATTCATCTTTGTCCCTGTTTTTTTAGAAAGTATTCTTGTCATAAAATACCACTAAAAGGGTTTTAAGAATCCATGAACTATTAAATAAGTCTTCGCGTGGATTCTAGCCATCAAAGACCTAATCCGACCTCTTATAATGATTTTTACTCGATTTACACTGAGATCATATCTACTTCAGGGATTTCTGGTGACGATTTACATTCTTCGCTACTTCTCTGGTACTGCGACTTTACGTCAGTCTGTAGCACATACATTAACATTTCACAAATGGTCCTTCGAGTAGCAATATTTTTTTAGGTTCAGTGAAGGATATCCCAAGAAGGCCTTGCGAACAAGGTTGGAATACTTTGGACAGCCTCGTTCCATGTGATCCCTATTATATTGTAGCATTTTTATTTCATAATTGGTCCTTCGAATTGAAACTTTTAACGTTTGTGGTCCTTCGAAAAAATTCACTAAAAAATATCCCAACAAGGATAACTAACATAGTAAGAATATTTTGGACAACCCTATTATTTGACAGTATTTTTTTGCACAATTGGTCCTTCGACTTGAGACTTTTCAACTGATACATTCCATTTGTTGATAAGTGCTTGTCGATCATAGTTTAAGATATTTTATTTGCAAATTTTTGTGGTTTGTAGAATAGCTTCTGCGAAACTTTAACCCCTTCAACCCATGACAGGCCAATAAAATGTATAAAAATAAACGATTGCCATAAAAAGTGACGACAAAAAACTTTATCTAACCCTATCCATGTAAAGTTCATTTGCCAAAAGGCAAGGCGTTTTTTTGCAAGGCAAACCAAGTCATTGACCTTCAAATGACCGGAGAGTGCCACATGGATGATTTGTCAATTTCATGGCCAACACACGCATAGACAACGAAAATGAAACGAGAAAAAACGCACACGCAAAATCAAATAATTTCACTTAGTTTGTTGCTATGAAATCATGCAATTGAATTCAAGCTCCATGGGGCGAGATGGAGCTGACATTGTTGGAGATACTAGAGAAACGGTCAAGACGCAAATATACGGCTACAACTTGGATTCAATTCAATCATGAATTAAAGTTTTGCATATATGTCTAGTCTCGCTGTATGGCTAGACATAGAAGAAAATAGAAGAGATCCAAAGATTTCCATATGCAAAACAATTTTCATTTACACTAGATGCAAAATGTCTACGCACACACACACATGAAGTGCATAGATGAATGGTCTACACATGTTAAGTTTCATATGCCGATTTTTCTTTCAGAGACATATGGTTGCAATCAAAAAGTTTGTTGTTTTTTGTTTAAATCTATATCCCAAAAATTCATGGAAGATTTATTTTCACATTATTGGTATCGAAGAAAAACAATTTAAACAACAACAAATTGAAACCCAAAAAATAGTGAAAACATTCGCAGACGTAGATATAATGCATCATGGCAAACAACAAATCATAGCAAGGAAAATCTTTTTTCGAATTGCAAAAAAAAAGAAATGATTTTTCATGCATGGATTACATTTCACAATATATGAAGGTAGGGAGGCGTTTTGAAAACGGGGAAGGTATGGTAAGTAAGGTAAGCATGTCAGGAACTCATCAGATTGTCTAAGGTTTATTTACATATTGGCAAAATGGTCCTTCGACCACATTCAAAGAAATAGATTATCGACATGTAGCCATGATTCTTTCATATTTTTTTTCATTATCAAGTAATGATAATCCTAATGGTCCTTCGAGATAAATTTTCTTTCTCTAATGCAAGGATAAACTAATAAAAATGAAGAAAAATGCCGATAAGAAATGTCGAGATGTTTTTTCAACACAAAAAAAGTCCTTTGAGAACAATTTTCTTTATATAAGTTCGGATTTAATTATTAAATCCAATTTCCAAATTAAGGATGCATCTAGTTTTGACTATTCTTCGAAATCCGTTCCAATTTAGACCATTTCACCTTGACAACATCTTCTTAATTTCCAGTAAATTTATTTAACGAATGATCCTTCGAGGAGGTATAGATAGATATTTTTTTCATGAGGAGTTTTCACAAAAAATCGATTTCCTAAATTAAGGAGGTAACTAGTTTTTGACTATTTTTCAAAATCCGTTCCGATTTAGACAACATCACAACAAATGGTCCTTCGAGGAGATATAGAGAAAAGCAAAACCTAGCTATTCTTTTCTCTTCAATTATTGCATTTTCGATTTTCAAATGATAATTCATTATTTTTATTAGGAAATCTAATTACAATTTTAACTGTTTACCAATGATGGCTTGATTTTCTCGAGGAGGAACATATCGAGATCTTCATACTCTTTCTGTAACTACAGGTTCCCGATGAGAAATAATTTTATTTATTCTTTCAGAAGTTTTATTTTTTTGAGAATTCTAATCACCGACTCTAAAATAAAATTAATTGTCCATCGATATCAATGCTTTTTTGCCAATGGTCCTTCGAGATGCTTTCGAAATTCTACGATAATTAATTCTACTCAAGATCCCTCTGTTCTAGCTCGAGATAGCTGCCATTTGTGAAAACCAATATATTCTTCCCTTTGGAAAGCCAATTCTTTTTACAAATGGTTCTTCGAGAAGAATTTTACAAGAAATTATCTAAAGACACTTAATGTGGAGTCTGAATACGCCAGAGGATATCGAAGATATATTGTACGAATATTCAACAAGCGAAAAGGTTTTATCTCAAGTGGACTGTATACAAAAACTAGAACTAAATTCTCTCTTGTTTACCATGTCTAACTATGGGTTCATTGCCAGACATTTACTATCATTATTAAAAGAAAATTCAGGGTCACTTCTTACATTTCCCAAACGGTTGACAAGAACTTTATTAGAAAATACCAAACCACACTTAGTGTGGAGTCTGAATACAGCGAAGATATAGAGGATATAGTTTACGAATCTTCAACATGCATAAAGTTCTTATCTCAAGTGAACTGTATACGAAAAATAGATCGCTGTTTAACTAAAATCTCTCTTCTTTACACAAGATACCATAGCAAGAAATTCACTATACATTTATTATAAGAAAATCCATGTTCACTGCATTTTCCATACGACTACTTCGTAACTTTTTGCGCTTTTTTGACTTTCACTAAAAAATATCCAACGATTCGTAGTGTGGATAAGTAGTCTGAATACGCCAGAGGATATCGAAGATATAGTGTACGAATTTTCAACAAACACAAAGTTCTTATCTCAAGTGGACTGTATACAAAAATAGATCCATGTTTAAATTCTCATACGACTACCTCGAAACTTTTTCCGTTTCTTGACTTTGACTGCATACACATATCGAACGATTCGTAGTGAGGATAAATAGTCTGAATACCCCAGAAGATATCGAGGATATAGTGTACGAATCTTCAACAAGCATAAAGTTCTTATCTCAAGTTGACTGTATACAAAAAATAGATCCATTTTTAACTAAATTTCCTCTACTTTACACAAGACAACCATAGCAAGACATCGAAGATATAGTGTACGAATCTTCAAAAAGTAAAAAGTTCTTATCTCAAGTGGACTGTATACAAAAAATAGATCCCTGTTTAACTAAATTTTCTCTTCTTTACACAAGAAACCCACAGCAAGGCATTCACTATCTTTATTAAAAGAAAATCTATGTTCACCACGTGAAAAGTTATTCTTACATTTTCCATACGACTACCTCGTAACATTTTCCGTTTGTTTCTTTCTTTAAAACGCATTTCAAGGCGAGTAGAGGTGTCTGGACGAGTACTGGTAAAATGGTAATAAATAATGGTTAGAAATCAAAAATGTGTAATATGAGTATGGAGGAAATGAAAGATAGAAAAAAAACTAAGTAAGAAAAAAAAATAGATAGATAGCAAATACAAATAATAATAAATAGTTCATTTACCGCTTTCTGTGAGCCATATTTTTCACCGTTGGCTGCCTTTTCCAATAGATGTGAACTTTCTTCGGTGGCCAAAGAGGCAGCACCGTTGTGTTTTAAATTAGCTTCCGATGAGGTTGATGACATATTTGCAGTTTGAGGGTTTTGAGTATTTTTTTTAATAAAGGAGATTTGTATAGTTTTTAATAAACTACTGAGATTACTTAGTCAAGGATTTGTTGTAAGAAAAAAAATTATTACAAAAATCGCGTTTTTTGGGGATATGTTTTTGAGGTTACGATAGATTTTCACGAGTCCTTTAAAAGTCCTTAATGTTTGCCTTGTGATTACAAAACACAAATAATTTTGTCTGTTCTTCTTCTTTGGGTTTTTTGGACACCCACACTTCTTGTGCTCTCCCGGTCTAGCTAACTTCAATGTGTATTATTGGGTTTAGATGCGCCTGCGCTTATCGAAAAGGTTACAAGTCAGTTCAGGTTCTGTTACTTGTTTTCTTTTTTGTAGAGTTCAATGGTAAGAAAAATCTCACTTTTCTTTCTTTTATTTTTTGTTTAGTTATACAAAAAAGAAATTGTTTCTAATACTGTTGTATTTTTTCTTCCAACAAAAAAAATGTTAGACAGGTAAATGGGGGAGTATTTGCGGTTGTATATTCGAGTTTGATTTTTTGTTGTTGTTTGATTTTTAATGAGTATTATTTTTTCTGTTAAATTTTTAACACACGAAACTATTTTTGTTTCTTTTTTACTTTTGTATTTATTATTTGTTATAATTTTTTATCTTCTTTAAATTTGTTTCCATAACCGTAGTCTTATTTGAATATTTAAACATGTTATTTCTTGTTTGTCTTTATTTGCTTTTGCCGTAGTTGGTAAGTTAGTTTATCTTCCGGTTATTTCTTCTGTTACTTAACACCGCCACGACTTAATTGTAAATGATGTCGTTCCATACCTTACGCGCCAAATAAAAACATATTTTTTCCACGCGCTCTCTATCTCACTGGCTCTGAATTTCCTTTGCATTAATTGAGCGCCAATGCAATGACTCTCTCTCTCTCTTTCACCCAGACACAGTTTAACTGTTCACTACTGTTTGTACTGGAACACTCTCTCATCATCTAACACAGTCTCTAATTGTTGTTTACCTCCCTGCAGGGATGGAAAATGAAAAATGTGAAAAGGTACCAAAAGAGTACTTTTTTTAATAAAAGAGTACTTTTTCAAGAAAATAAAAAACAAATTATTCTGTTTCATAATGATCGATTTTCAAGATATCATCACTTAGTCTATCTTTCTGATGGTAATAATATGAGAATTCTTGCTTCTTTCGATTGCATTTGAATATGTATGCTATTGATTAATTTTAATTTCACTACCACTTTCTCGAAAGCCAATATACCCCAAACTAACATGAATTTCAGTTCCAAAGTGCTATTGAAATTATTGAAGTAATCACGACGACTATGAATGCCATCAATTTGCCTACCTCAGGAGATAGCACAGAGTACGCCAAATTGAATATCTGACAAACATATCCGGCTAAAAAAGATAGGAACTGATAAATTAATTTAAAGTTTGTAATTTTAATCATAACTGAAAAGGTACCAGTCGTAACTGTAAAGAAGAATATTGCAATCACATCAATATCTTTATCTGCAATACTTTTGCCGGTCAAATCCATAATAAATTCTAATCCAAAAAAATTATATGTATCATGGTTTAATGGAGGATTGGAATGGTACTGAAATGGTCACGGGGGTACTACGGTACTTTTTTGGGTAAAAAGGTACTGAAAAAAGTACTATTGTACTGAATTTTCCATCCCTGCCTCCCTGCCACGCTCTCCCCCTCTCTCGCTCTCTGTGATTTGGTTGTGTACTTTGTGTTCATGAATCAACAAACGACGACGAAATGCCTCTACAAAAAAGAAGGGGTGTGTATTTCACTGTCTCCATAGAAAGTCTGTACATGTCGAGGTTTTGACGTCACTCAAACTATTTACATTAAACTGGCAAGAGATGCGTGCGTACACAAAACTCAGACAGTGGGTTAAAACGTAAAATAAAACCAAGGGATAATTCAAGCATTTACAGAACCGGGGGCCCACATCGAAAGTAAGTAAACCTTTTCTAACACAATACCGGAGATTTTAATTCGAATATTCTCGTTGACCAAGTAATTATTATTAATATGTTATTACTCTTGATTTATTCGTAGTCTACAGCATTAATCCAATTCTTTTCTTCTACAGGGAAATCTTTGAATATTTTCAAAAAAATTTAAGAAAGAACAAGAAAACCGGGAGTGAGGGCAACTCGAGATGTACAGGAGTCGAAATGAAGTCCGAAAATTTTAACAACGAGTAAAACACCAAACCGATGGCTTTGGTGCCGATACATTCTAGAGGAAATTTTTCAAAAAAGAACAAAGAACAAGAAAAACATGAGCGAAAGCAAATCGAGATGTAGAGAAGTCAGAATGAAGAGTCCGGAAATTTTACCAACGATTAAAACTCCAAACCGAAGGCTGTGGTGCAGGCACATCCTCCTATAGAGATGAATATGGAAACCTGATGACAGATACAGACAGCGTGTAGGAGCATTTTGCTAAGTTCTTGGTATCAAATAGTAGCGGAGAAGAATATACCCCAAAACTTCATATAAGAGATGACGGTATAGATTGTATACCAACTAGCCGAGATGAGGTCAGAATAGCAATTAACCGGCTGAAGAATAATAAAGCAGCAATTGCCGATGGGTTACCAGCCGAATGCAAAGCTTTTGATATGAAATAGTTGCGGTGAAGAAGATACCCCAAAACGTCATATAAGAGATGCCGATATCGAGTGTATA